TTGGCATTAGTTTTTGCGGCGTAAATTTGAAAAATAGTCATATTAACTGGTCTTCCTTGTAGGCATATAGATATCATCCTATCACTGGCATAACTGTACTTCAGAATACATCTTGAAATGTTCTTTTTGGTGATGAAAGTGACACCATTCCTACTCAATTTTTCATTCCCAGCACAGTAGTCCATATGCTTGTCTGATTCAAAATAGCCAATACGTCCATTTCAGCTCACTAATGCCTAGAACATTGTTGCATTCCATTTTTGAAAACTTCCAATTTTCCTAGATTCCTGCTTTGTACATTCCACCTTCTGATTATTAACAGATATTTGCAGCTGTTTCTTCTCATTTTGAGTTGTGCCTCCTCAGTAAATGAAGGTCCTGAAAGCTTGACTCCATCCATGTCACTAAGGTGAACTCTACTTTGAGGATGGAGCCATGGTGGCACAGTGGTTGTAAGTTATAAGGTCAGGCTGTTAACCAAGAGGTCGGCAGTCACAATCCATCAGCCGCTCCTTCATAACCCTATGGGGCCATTCTACTCTGCCCTATATGGTCGCATTTAGTTAGAATCGACTTGACAGCAATGGATTTGGTTTTTTTTTTCTACTTTGAGGAGGCAGCTCTTCCCCAGTCGTATTTTGAGTGCCTTCCAATCTGAGGCGCTCATCTTCTGGCACTACACCAGACAATGTTCTGCTGCTATTCACAAAGTTTTCACTGGCCAGTTTTTTTAGAAGTAGACCACCAGGTCCTTCTTCCTCATCTGTCTTAGTCTGGAAGCTCTGCTGAAGCCTGTCCACCATGGGTGACTCTGCTGGTATTTGAAATACTGGTGGTGTAGCTTCCAGCATCACAGCAACATGCAAGCCACCACAGACACTGCTATAAAACCCCTCGTGGGGTTGCTGGAGGAAGATACTGGCCACAGGGAGCTCTTGGCCATTGTGAACTGCAGGAGCTGGGCACCAGAGAAGCTGCCCACAGGGCAGGAGCAGGGCACTAGGGAAGCCATGAGGCTTTGAGGCTTGGAGCTGCAAGGTGAGATCCAGCAATCAAAACCCTTTCCTCCTTCAATGTCTCTCTAATGCCCTCTACTGACAAAGCTTATCATAATGGCAGCTGGCAAAGGAAAACTATTTGAAGGGCTCAGATCCATTTTCACAGAGCAGGCAATGAGAGTGGTGAATTTGGAGAAGAGAGGAGCTAAGTTGGTGACTGGCATAATGTTTAGATATTTGAGTGTTTCTATTTCTTTTCCAACATTTTTCCACAGTTCATGCTGAAACCTGAAATAATTCCCATTTTAGAGATTTGATGTTAGTTACCATTGAGTCAGCTCTGACCTGTGGTGACTGTCTGTATAATAGAATTGTTACCTGGTCCTGCACCGTCTTCGCGATCATTGGTGTGTTTGAGCTCATTGTGTAAATCTATCTCATTGAGGGTTTCCCTCATTTTTGTTGACCCTCTACTTTACCAAACAGAATGTTCTTTTCTAGCGATTGGTCTTTCCTGATGATGTGTTCAAAGTAAGCACAATGAAGTCTTGCCATCCTCGCTTCTAAGGAGAATTCTGGTTGTATTTCTTCTCAGACTGTAAGACTAGTGTGATTGAGTTGAACAATTCCAACACATGTCAAATGAGCACTGCGGAACATCCTATGGAGCACCTGGAAAGAATGTGTCAGGTGACTGCCTGTTCAGGCGTTCCCAGTCCGGTTAGGAGACAGGATATAAAGAAGGATCTGCGCATGACACGAGGGGACTGACCAGCATTCATTCCTGCTCTAGCTGCGGGGATACCAGGTGCCCGTGGTGTTCAAGAGACACCCAGCTGCCCCAGAGGGGTTGGTTTTCAGCCAGAAAAGCCCCCCTACCCTGGGAACAGGAGTGCAGTAACCTTCCGGGTCACATTAGGCGACCCCCTCCACCCAGTCTGTGTTTTGAGGGGGAGTGCAGATGCTGCCGGCTGGAGTGAACAGCAGCTGAAATGAAGTTGGGGGTTAGTCTGGAGTAAGGCCAGGAATTCACACTCAGCAGTCAGTATCTGGGCAAGAGGTGAGACCTGCCCCAGGCAAGTCAGTGGTGGGGTCGGGGGAGCTGTGTTTGGCCTGCTATGATTTTAAACTTTGGAACCAGTGGCTGGGAAGAGCAGTTGCCCTCTAGACGGGATGTACTCTCCAAGTTCACAGCCCTCTTCACCTACCTTACCTACAGCCCCAGGTGTGCAACCCTTAAAACATCGCAGGACCACTGGAAAGGCTGTTTTGCTGCTCGTGTTGCATTAGAAAATATATTACTGCGCTATAATACAGAACCTTGGGGGCGCAGTGGTTAAGAGCTCGGCTGCTAAGCAAAAGGTTGGCAGTTTGAATCCACCAGCTGCTCCTTTGAAACCCTATGGGGCAGTTCTAGTCTGTCCTATAGGGTCAATACCCTCACGTGTCTGTCAGTTTGTCGTACTGTTGGGGCTTGTGTGTTGCTGTGATGCTGGAAGCTATGCCACTGGTATTCAGATACCAGCAGGGTCACCCAGGGCGGCAGGTTTCCATTAAAAGCTTCTAGACTAAGACTGGGAAGAAGGACCCAGAAGTCTACTTCTGAGAAGAATTAGCCAGTGAAAACCTTACGAATAGCAGCAGAACATTGTCTGATATAGTGCCAGAAGATAAGCCCCCCAGGTTGGAAGGCACTCAAAAGACAACTGGGGAAGAAGCTCGAGGAATTGATGGAATATTAATTGAGATGTTTCAAAGAATGGATGCAGTGCTGGAAGTGCTCACTTGTCCATGCCAAGAAATTTGGAAGACACCCACCTGGCCAACCAAGAGGAAGAGATCCATATTTATGCCTATTCCCAAGAAGGGTGATCCCACTGAATGTGGAAATTATTGAACAATATTATATGCAACCAAAATTTTGCTGAAGATCATTCAAAAGTGGTTATAGCAGTATATCGACAGGGAACTGCCAGAAATTCAAGCTGGATTTAGAAGAGGATGTGGAACCAGGGGTATCATTGCTGATGTTAGATGGATCCTCGCTGAAAGCAGAGAATACCAGAAGGATGTTTACCTGTGTTTTATTGACTATGCTAAGGCATATGACTGTGTGGATCATAACAAATTATGGATAACATTGTGGAGAATGAGAATTCCAGAAAACTTAATTGTGCTCATGAGGAATCTGTACATGATCAAGAAGCAGTCATTTGAACAAAACAAGAGGATGCTGCATGGTTTAAAGTCAAGAAAGGTGTGCATCAGGGTTGTATACTTTCACCATACCTATTCAATCTGTATGCTGAGCAAATAATCTGAGAAGCTGGACTATATGAAGAAGAACAGGGCATCGGGATTGGAGGAAGACTCATTAACAACCCCTGATATGCAGATGACATAGCCTTGCTTGCTGAAAGTGAAGAGGATTTGAAGCACTTACTGATGAAGATCAAAGACCACAGCCTTCAGTATGGATTACACCTCAACGTAAAGAAAGCAAAAATCCTCACAACTGGACCAATAAACAACATCATGATTAACTGAGAAAATACTGAAGTTGTCAAGGATTTCTTTTTACTCGGATCCACAATCAACACCTATGGAAGCAGCAGTCAAAAAATCAAATGACACATTGCATTGGGCAAATCTTCTGCAAAAGACCTCTTTGAAGTGTTGAAAAGCAGAGTCACCTTGTGGACTAAGGTGCGCCTGACGCAAGCCATGGTGTTTTCAATCACCTCATATGCATGTGAAAGCTAGACGATGAATAAGAAGACCGATTTGATGCCTTTGAATTGTGGTGTTGGCAAAGAATATACCATGGACTGCCAAAAGAAGTAACAAATCTCATTTGGAAGAAGCACAGCCAGAATTCTCTTTAGAAGCAAGGATGAGGAGACTACGTCTCACATACTTTGAACACGTTATCAGGAGGGATCAGTCTCTGGAAAAGGACATAATGCTCGGTGAAGTGGAGGGTCAGCGAAAAAGAGACCCTCAACGAGATAGGCTGACAGAATGCAACAATGGGCTCAAGCATTAGCAAACACTGTGAGGGTGGCGCAGGACCAGGCAGTGTTCCCTTCTTGTGCATAGGGTCGCTGTGAGTGGAACGGACTTGACAGCACCTAACAACAACATAGGGTCACTACGAGTGGGTTTGGAGTCCTGGTGGCACACTGGTTAAGAGCTCGGCTGCTAACCAAAAGGTTGGCCGTTCGAATCCACCAGACGCTCTTTGGAAACCTTATGGGGCAGTTCTACTCTGTCCTATAGGGCCGCTGTAGGTCGGAATCAACTGGACTGGCAACGGGTTTTGCACTATATTATCTCATAACAAGAGTTAATTATTCTTGTATAAAAAACGTAGCCAGTATTTCAGGGGGCAAAGTAAGAGCAGAAAGCTGCTCCCAAGCCCACCATGCTTGGGCGCCGCGGACACGGATGTTTTTGAATGAGGGAGCTAGGCGTGCTGCGTTTTACCCACGTCGCGGACACCCTTCCGAGGCCCGCATTCTGACACATCCAAGCCTTCGTGCTCCTGTCCAGGGTTGCGCCGTACTTCATTTATCGGCCCTTCGGAAGGCACCTGCAGCCATGCGGATCTGAGCGTGCAGAGAAAACTCCCAGTGGCCCTGGATCCCTCCCGCCTGCCTGCCGCAGGTGAGCGCCCTCGGGCCCCGCCCACCCGCGCCGGCGTTGCG